GCTGCCGCTGCCGCTGCCGCTGCCGCTGCCGCAGCCGCTGCCGCTGCCGCTGCCGCTGCCGCAGCCGCTGCCGCTGCCGCTGCCGCTGCTGCTGCTGCTGCTGCTGCTGCTGCTCCTCCTCCTCTTGCCGCAGCCGCTGCCGCCGCTGTGCCTGCTGCTACGCATCTTCCGCCTTCTCTTTGTATCCGTCGTTTGCCCTCTTGTCCCCCCCCTTTCTTGCTCTTCTTGAGCTTCTTCGCCGCAGGTGCACGACGAGGAGGAGGCCCCTCCTGTGTTTCGACGGCTGGAGACGCTGACGGCCTCTCGGTAAGAGAAGTTGGGGGAAGAGGCAGAGGCAGAGGCAGAGGCAGAGGCAGAGGCAGAGGCAGAGACTATCTGATGGAGAAGGAGATGGAAGGACAGGCAGGGGGGAGAGAAGAGAAGAAGGGACAAGAAGGCGAGGTATGGTGGAGGAAGCAAGTAGTTGAAGAGCGGAGGATGAAGGAGGGGGGAGGGGGAAGGTGAAAGGAACAGAGATATCTTTGTTTTCCCAAGAGTTTGTAATGAGATGAATTCCTGCAGGTACTCTCCCCTTCGGCCTGGAGAAGTTTTGTTTGCTGTGCAAGGCGACAATTTCTTCAGGTGAGGATTCTTATCACGACGATCAGGATGTGATGTGTTTGAAACAAGACATTTCACCCTTGCAATGAGATGTGTTTCTGTGCTCATGAATCGTGATTGTATGACGAGTGACGTTTGACTGACTCGCGGTCTCCCTTCCATTGTTGGCACGGCAGGGAAGTGAAATATACCATCCACTTCAACGTATGCGATCTTGAAGCCAAGGTGTAGGAGGAGGAGGAGCGAGGAGGAGGAGGAGGAGGGAGGAGGAGAGAGGAGGGAAGGGGAGGAGAGAGGAGAGGAGGAGAGAGGAGGGGAGAGGAGAAGGGAACTGAAGGATATTGTGCAGGAGGAAATTTTGTCAGCGGAAGAGAAATTAAGTCAAAAGCAAAGAGAGCTCCACCAGCTCGAGCAGGTACCTCCTCCTCCCCTTCCTCCTCCTCTCCTCTCTCCAACACTTTTGTCCTCCTTTCCTGTCTCTGTCTCTGTCTCTGTCTGTTCTTGTTCCTGTTTCTGTCCCTCCTGCTCTGTCGAACTCTCTCTCTCTCCTCCCTCTTCTTCTTCCTCTCCCCGCTCTTCCTTCTTTTCTCCTCATTGAGCTGCAGGAGTACTGGGAGGCCAAGAGCAAGTACGAGAAAATTCTGGCCAGGGTGAAACTTGAGATGATGACGAGCTTGCGGTTGTACTGATATTCTCCTGCTCCTCCTGCTCCTGCCTCCTGCTCCTGCTCCTGCTCCTGCCTCTGCTCCTGCCTCCTGCTCCTGCTCCTGCTCCTGCTCCTGCCTCTGCTCCTGCCTCCTGCTCCTGCTCCTGCTCCTGCTCCTGCTCCTGCTCCTGCCTCCTGCTCCTGCTCCTGCTCCTGCTCCTGCTCCTGCTCCTCGACCCGCCTCTGCCTCTGCACCTTCCCTGTCTACTTCATTCTTCGTCCTGCTTGGGTCAGGTGGAGGAGGAGACGACGACGGTGGAGCAGTCGCTGCTTATTGGTGAGGCATTGTTCCTTGCCTCCCGCCACTGACCCTTCCATGCAGCGCGAAGCTCTCTATGCGAAGATGGCGGGTGAGAGGAGGGGGAGGAGGAGGGGAAGAAGGAGCGAGGGGGGGAGGGAGGAGAGGCAGCATGACTTGGAAGCAGGTGACGTGCAGCGGGAAAGAGCTGTGGAGCAGGCAATCGCGAGGCAGAGGAGGAGAGGTAGGATGGGAGAAGGGGAAAATGAAAGTTG